TAGTCTGAACCTAAGACTATTTTTTTAGCTAAATAAGATTGTCTCCAAAACTGAAGTACGTTTATCCAGATATTTAGAGATTATGAAAAGTCAGTTATAAAAATACCTTTTGCTATGATTTGTTGTTTGCAAATCCAAACTTTTTTTGTTAGCAGTATAATTGGCATTTGTGGCCTCGTTCTTTTCAACTACCTCAATGTTCGATGCAGCCAGGTTTTCTGAAGTGTGATCACAAATCTCTGGAATTTCATTGTTCGATATTTTCTGCGGATCAGAGATGGGACTTTGGCACTCAGTCATTCCTTCACGTGGTGTACTTGAAGGATTCTGATTTGTTAATAAGGATGAAAACACTGAACACAATTCATGGCAACCTCTTAATTGTTCTTGTAACTCGTCGAGTGCAAAAAGTCGCTGAAAATTTAAAGCTGATTAGAGACGGTGAAATTCTAACAGTTCTTATATAATTTCCTACACTTGAAGTTTAAAGTGCTTCGGAATAGCAAACTATATGTCTTTATGCTAGCATTTGGTAAGAACTTGCACTGATTTTGTAAGTAGTAAATTTATAGTTCTAATTCTCAACAATAATTAGTTACCAAACAAAGACAATTTACCCCATTGACTTCTTTTTCGAAAACAGCTGCACTTGCAGGAAGCTTGTTTTGTCGTAAAAAATGGTAAATTAAAGCACATTCTAGTGGATAAGTCCGAGCTGTTTGGTTTAGTTCCTCAGTTTGCGAATCATCCTCAATTGCAAGAAATATTGCTGCTCGTAGTTCTGCCTGTGAAAATCTTTAGCTTGACACGTTATTTCAATGTCAGTCAGCCATCTTTATATGCATAGAAGCCGACGACCATTTAACAGCAAAATTTTCTGTTTCAAAATTACGCAATGGTACACTTTTTAGGTACTTCGTACCTAAAATTCTCATTTATGTTAAAAATTGATTTTAGATCTTCAGCCTATAGCAAATTTTATTTTATTTTATTTTATTTTA